TCTTACTTCATTTTTTTCACTTTACAGGGCTAATCCTGTAAGGAAGGCAGGGAGGAAACATGTTGTTTCTAGCCTAATCTTTGTTGCCCTGCTTACAAAAACTGCCTCTCTGGTTAACCCTCATTACATTGTAACAACTAAGGCAAAGCTCCCATTGACCTGAGTGACATTGAGTTGGCCATGCCCACCCAGTCACATGACCACTGAGCCCCACCTACCCAGCTGGTCATTAGGGCAGAGAACTGGTTGTTAAATTATTTGAATCCCACCACTGCAGTGACATACCTGTATATGTGAGGGATGAACATTTATGAATAATAGTCAACTTCTCCAAGTTAGCTAATTAAAACAAAATTACACAGCATTTCAAACCATGTTATTTTAACATCATTTTTTCTTCTTCTTAGTGTAGCATTCCTTCATCATGATCTCTTTTTTTCGTATCTATACATGGCTTGTGATAGTGATTCCTTAGATTAGTTCCAATTAATTGCATGGGGTTTTTTTCATAGTGAAGTTTTATTGCTGCTGCAAGCTCAATTTTAGCCCTAGGTAGTTTTAAATCCATGTATCTATTTCCCTTGCAAGAATGTCCATATGTGAGATAATGACTCTTTGACAATAGATGCTTTAAAGGACTCAATGCTAGTAGATTGGAGCAAGAAGCAACAGAGAGCAGAGAAAAGAAAGGAAGAACAAAGAGCTAAAAAAGTAAACATATGGACATATTCTCATCTAGTTCCTCTGCAGCTAACTAGAATGAAGGATTTCCTAATTATTTTAACTCTGTGTAACCATGCCCAATGATTGGTTGCAACAGTCTCTTTCCTTACATTTTAGGGAGAAGGGTATGTCTGAAAACTACATGAGCTAATCCTTGTCTATTTGTGTGTGTGGATTCTATATTTACAGCAATTAAATATATTGCATCCAGGCTCCAATGGATAGAATTGTTCTGTTTGTAAACTTTAGGATCTACAGTCTTTAGGATTGGTATAGTGTTTAGGGCTGTGTAAGCTCAAAACAACTATAGTAGGTTTTCAAGATTCACAAAATGTGATGTTCCTTCACTCTTCCAATCATCCATGGTAGGCCAATTCCAATTGTGTAAAATGGCCAAGAACACAGAGTGTTAGTGGGAAAGAAACAGTGGCAGCGTTCCCTAACTTGACACCTCCTGATATGTTGCATATCCTAAAATTTCCAACCAGTGCTAGAAAATTGGGGAAGACTAAAACAGCATGCAATCATATGAACATAGTGTGGTTTCACATGGAGTTGACATTTAAACTGGCACCTTCTAATATCACAGTTGCTTCATTACATAAGTGTTTACAGAACATAGCACCTAAGCAGGTTTGGTCTCAAACACACCCAAACACATACAGCTCCAATCTATTTCAGAGGCACACAGGTTCCATTTCTCAAAAAACAAAAACCTGTAATCCTTCAGATGAGAATTACATGTGCAAATGAAAGTTTCTCCTGCTTCCATATTTTTTAACTGTTGCAGATTTGGAATCCTCCCCCCCCCTCCTTTCTACTTAAATGCTTTGCAAGAAGTGTTAGGAAAGGAAACATGAGCACACTGGCTTCTGGAAAAGCTTTGCCACCAGCAACTGAATGTCCTTTTATAGATAAAATTATATAATGACAATATGACGGAAAAGTTCAAACATTAAATGATTTCATGTTCCTCGTAATATCATATCTGAAAGTCCATAATTACTGCTTTGCAGACTTCTTTTCTGGTTATGTCTATGCCGGATGAGTTCCACTGATTGGT